AAAAATACAAAAAAAATACAAAAAACACGAAGAGAGATAGCGAGAAGAATCCACGGGGCCTTCCGAGTTCCGAGCCTTTCGAGCCAGGGGTCTGGTCTGCCGATTGTCGAGACAAATTTCCAAGAAGCAAACGATTCTATTGTTGTGGCAGCAAGGCACAGCATGCTGGAGCGGGGGAGTAGGGGGGGTAGCAGCGGAGTCAAGTGTCTGGTGTTCTTCAGCCAGACAGAGAGATCCGCTGCTGCTGCTGCTGCTGCTGTGCTTCTGCGATAGTCAGCTTCCGTTTCTAGGCCCACATTTTTCGATGATGGAGAGGCTGCTTGCCGCTTATCAGAGACTGCCGCCTACCCCGCACCCCTTTCTGGCTTCGAGCATCCGCTGATGTCTGGGGCCTCCCTTCGCTTATCTTCCGACCTCTTCCTCCCTCTCTGCGCCTCTCAGGCACCGCACAGTGGTGGCATGACGTGGCACAAGTCAGGGTCGGGTACCGTGATACCGTAATGCCGTGATACCGTGTCATCAGACACCTTTTCCCTTCCGACTGCGTCGTTTTGCGAGGTTCTGGTTTCTGCTTCGGATGATTTTCTCATGAAATGCACTCCCATTACAGGTGTGTGACAGATAACGAACGGGTGCCACTGGGTGCCACTGGGAGCCACTGGAAGCCTCCTCCTTTTCATCGAAATAAAGAATGTTTTGCTTTATCTAAAAACTCAGATTTCCCTTTCGAAATAGAAGCCCTCCCCCCCCACCCCGAACAAAATGCAATAGTTTTGTTCGTCCAATTTCCTGCTGATTCTTCGTTCTGAAAAACTAAACTGCAAAATCAGGTGCTTTTTGTATGGGATTCCAATGGCAGAGCCAACCATGAAGTGGAAAATTACAGCAAATAAATGGGTTTTGTGGTACGTTTTTGGAAGATTCTGGGATCAGCAAAATATTAACTATGAATTTCCACTTGCCCCAAAGGCAAAACTCCATTTTATTCCGAATAGTGTCTTAAGGTATTGAGAACTGCTTCTCTGCACTGCTTTCGATGGCTGTTTCTTCTGCTTCCTAGCACTATTTATGTTTACACTGCTTCCCCCACTGCTTCTTCGCACTGTTTCTTCCCACTGCTTCCATTTGAACTGATTCTTCCCCCTCGCGTCTGCTCAGATGAGAAATTCTTTTTCGTCTATCGTCTGGCTCTTGTCTTTCCGGATTTCATTCTGTCTGGATTTTGGTGTCCAGATTTGCTAATCATTGTAACGCCTACACGCGCACACCTACACTCAAACTAATATACATATATACATAGTATGGGAACGAAAGAGAGAGAGCGAGATTGGGAATATATTCAGAAGTCTGACACTGGGACGGATTACGATTTACATACCCGAACCGCGACCCCCGAGAGAGAGAGAGAGGAAGAGAGATAGGTAGCGGTAGGGGACGGAAAGGGGGAGAGAGGCTTGTTTGAGGAGTCGCTGATTGGCGACCCGACTGGCCCCGATGGAGGCAGGAAGACAAAAAGTCTATCAAAGCCGGCTTTATTTTTATTTTTATTACATAATCTCCTGCTGCTTCTGCTTCTGCCTGTCTTTTAATCTTTAGAATCTCAGCCTCTCTTTAATCTTTCTCTCAACCGCTCTCTCCCCGTGTCCGTCTCCGTCTCTCTATCTATATTCCTCCCTCTCTTGGGGGACTCTTGGAATCGCATCGAATTGGCATCAGAAATCAGGCAAAGACCGCATGTCACAATCGATTAGCGATTTTTCAGCCTGTCTGGTCTGTCCGGTTGTTACGGTGTTCGGTTCGCTTTTCGCTTTTCGTTTTTCGTTTTTCGCCTTTGGAACTATGAATACGATTACGAATACGAGACCACGAGAGAATTCCACAGCGGCCGGTCTCCTCTTCTGTGACGATAGCTGGAAATACGTATAGACTTTAGACAAAAGAAAGCCCCCACACACTCCAGCAGATATTCATAATTTATAATTTATAGAAACTCTTTGGAAATTAGCATCTTCGGCTTTTGCGCTTGGAGAAAATGTCTCTGGCGCATCTCTGCCGGATATCGAGGAGACGAACGGTGCCCGGCTCCGTTCCCTCTCGATAAGGCAACAAAATCAGAAAAGACGCAGATCAAAATATACCCATACTCTCGTACATTTCGGAATCGCGATGTCTGTAGAAAAGTCGCCAAAAGACAGCGAAAACAATGGAAAAAAGGCAACAGCAAATGGCAGAAACAAAAACAAAAAACCAAAAACAAATAAAAAACGACCAAAACGAACACACACACACACACACACATCCAGAAAAGTAGTAACAACAATCAAGAGAAACAGTAAAAACGAAACGAAATGAAACACAAAAAAAAATTTCAGACTTCGACCCAGACAACAACCGACGGATCGACAGAGCGACCGCCGGGACTGATTCCGATTGGAACATGAATGGACGGGTGTATGGGTGTTCCAGTGTGTTCCACTGACCGTGTGTATGTGTGTAGAGTTGATTATGAACTCTAATGATTCGCTTTTTATACAGAGAATAGACGAGAGTAGAGTAGAGAGTGGCATGGAAGCGGGTATGCCCAAATAGTGGTGTGGTTGTTGACTTTTCATTCAGCAAACATGTCAGTGTTTCATTGCCAATGTTCCTAACCTCATTTACAGTAGATCCTTCTAAGAAGCGGAAGGTTTAACCGGTATAAAGTTTAGGAATCTTGAAATATCTGTAGGATATTATTAGCTGAGAAGCAGTGTGAGAAAGAAGCAGTAGAAGTTTGAGAACCAGTAGATTGCCTCGAAGAAGAAGCAGTGTAAACATGAAGAGTATCCACTGGACTCTGGAGTGCCAGAATGCCGGTAAAAATAAGGGTATGGGTATTCCATGAGACCCCATCATTCCACAGACACAGACAGAGAGATGTGGCCCCTCTCCTGCCTCCCTTGAGGCGCTCAGCTGAAGATCAGCGGCTGATTTTTGAGGGTGCGTTGACCAATGCTTCACGAGGCGGCACGTGATTATCTGGACAGGAATCACGGTTCACAGAGAGACTGAGAGACAGGAGGAGCTGGAGCTGGAGCTGGTGCTGGTGCTGGAGCTCTCTGTTGCACTGCCAAATAATGACCTTGGGGAATGTTGTCGCTCGTCAGTCGTCAGTCGTTAGTCGTCATTCGGCAGCGGCTCTAATCTCGTGTTCTGTTGCTGCGGCGTTGCGGTGCGGTGCGGTGCCTGGTCATGTGGGTGGCGCGGGTTGACGCTGTGTTTGACGTCGCTGCCTGCTGCGACGGACAGGTGCTCAAGTCCATGGGCTCCTATCTCTGTTCTGTGTGCGCCGGCTGTGGACTCTTTTCAGCAGAAATTCATGATAAGACGTTACTCTTGACTTGACTTTACCCTCCCTCCGTTCCACCACCATCCCGCCGTGCATTCGGCTCTCCAGAAGCCAAAGAACAGACGCAGAACCATACAGAGCCCAGACCTCACGCCCAGACCCAGACGGAGACCGAGAGACCCGCCGCACAGACCAGACCAGACCGGACCAGACGCTTGATAAGCGACAGAGGGAGACGGACTATGGCGCAAAAAAAAAACAAAAGACCTTGATTTCGTGAGAGAGAGAGAGAGAGAGAGTGCTTGAGGGTCTCCCTCTTACTCTCCTTCAGCCGTCAGCTGTTTAATTAGCTTTCGATTAATTAACTTGTCAGTCGAGCTTCTGTTTCTTCTTCTTTCGCTCGATTTCTACTCGATTTTCTCATGAACTTTTAATTTAAACTTTTATTTATGCCAAATTCGTATTATTTTATGCGAAATTTGTATTAATTTATTAAAATTTGCTGATTTTTGCAGTAATTTGTATTCAATTTGTATATATTGAATGTGTTGATAAGCAGTGCAAGCATTAGATAAGCCTGTCAAGCAGTTTGGAGATCTAGGATTCAGTTTCTAAGCAGTTGAATAGCCAAACAAGCAGTGGATTGCATCAGATCATGTCAAGAAGCAGTGCCGGAATGGTTGTAGTAGCAGTAGAAGAGGGAGGCTCTTTCGGGGTCTCCGGCAGGGCGTATGCGTAACATTCTTATGCTTGGCATTCCCCCATTTCTTCTTTCACGAAGAAAGAGCTGCCCGAGCCCCGAAGCTGTTGAAGGGAAAAGGGTTGAGGAAAGAGGGGCTCTGGGGCAGGTAGAAGGTGGAAGGTAAACGACAAAGCAGCGAGAAATCTTCTACGCTTTGGTGTTCCATGCGAGTGTCCCCTCTTCACCACTACCCCCCTCCACTCACCCCACTGCCACTGCCACTGCCACTCTCTGTGTGCGAGTGTTTCTCTGTGTGAGTGCGAGTGCGAGTGTGAGACAATATCTATGTGCAAAGCAGAGAGCAGAAAAAAGCTGAGACTACGACTAAGACTCTGAGGCACAGGCAGAGGCAGAGGCTCACACACGAGTGTGAGAGCGGTGTAGTGGGGTGTGCTGGCGCTGGTGATGGTGCTGGTGTGTGGTGGGACAAGAGGCAGAGGCACAGAGCCACAGAGCCATAGAACCAGAGCTAAAGCCAAGGCAATACTCGCCACCAAGAGGAGCCACAGAGCCACAGAGCCACGGCTGATGGAGCTCTTGGCTTACGCTTACGCATGGGTTCATTGAACGGAAGTGATTTGCCTACTGCTCTCAGAGAGAGAGACAGAGAGAGAGAGCGAGAGCGAGTAGGAGAAAAGGTGGGTAGAGTGCCACACGCGACTTTGACTTGGTTTTGTTCTGCTTTGTTTTGGTGGAACTCCGAAATAAATACAAATAAAACTTCTTCTGGGAAATGCTTGGGCCTAAACGATGCTTCAAATGTCTTAATCTCAGCCAACGAATCTCTAAACTGTATTTAATGCTTGTTTAGGTTTAGTTCAAAGGCAGGAAACGTGAAGATTTACACTAGATTTCTGCTTAAATCAACTTATTCTCAAGTTTTGCCCCATCTACCATAAATATAAAGCGTTTGTTTCGTTTCAGGCAAATTGTGAGCAACAAGAAGACTTTTCAATGGTAAGTGAATATCTAAGAATGATCATAATAGATCTAATTCTCTTAAGAGAACCTATAAATCATCCAAGGAATGTTTGGGCATTAACAAAATGAATCAAATTCCTTTGCAAAAAGGTTTTCAAAGAGCGTTTCCAACGAATTTGTATGAGACCTTTTTGAAAGACCAGAAACCATAAATTATACAAAAATTGTTTGGACAAAGCCTTCTTAAGAGACCACGAACCAATCCGATCCCACCCAAAATGTATCTAGTATCTATATCTTTGGTATGGCATATACTATAGGCGTGTTTTTCCCTCGGCTTCCGTCCCCTACCGTCCCGTGTGCTAATTTATTACAACACTTTTTATGACAGCCACAAAACACACAAATATTAAAGGGTTTTAAAAGCATTCAAAAATGCTTTAAAACAAATGTTTTATATTCGCTTTTTTGTTGGTTTTTGTTGGTTTCTATATACAAGATATTGTATCTACAGATACTACACGGTAGAATGGCGGGGAATCTATCTTTTTGAAGAGATGACTGTGTATCTGTATCTCTTCGTTTCGTTTTCCCCCTCCCCTCCCGAGATAGTGTGGCCAGTGGCCAGTGGCCACATACCATCGCTGATTTCAGAATTTATTGCATTTCTGTGGACAGGGGACAGGGGACAGTAGACAGTTTTTTTTTGACTGGATTTTGTATCTCTTTCTCTTTTTTCGCGCGTGTGTGTGTGTGTGCGTGTGTGTTTTTTTTTAATGAATTTTTATTGTTTTTCTTTCGGTCTCGAGAGGGTGGGTTCAGCGAGGGGGTGGGGTTCGGGTGTGTGTTGACAGGAAGTCGCCGGAATGCGATTTATAGAGAGCAGATCGCGTATCGTATCGGCCTATGAATAGCGTATAATTAACAGTGGGGCTCCCTTATGAATGAAACTATGTTCGTCCCTGATGGATGGATGGATGGATGGACTGTCGGTGGAGAAGGGGGTTTGCTTTTTTGTTTTTGTGGCTTACCTTTTGCTGAATTTTGGCCTTTAGTTTTATATTTTTGGGTTCAATTTTGTTTAACTATTTTAGTTCTAACTTTTTTGTTTTGTATAGATTTAGATTTAGATTTAGATTGATTTAGGAATTCCTCTAAAATTTCCTAAATTTTGCTTGAATTATTCGCTCGTTTTTTCTCTTGTTTCGACACTTGTTTTGGTCACACTTTTGAACGTTTAATTTTTCTAAGCCATGAAATTTATTTACAGGATTTTTCTTCGCTTTTGTTGTGGCTTTTACTCGTATTTTTTGTGCATTTTAATGAATTGTTTTTACGCATTATTTCTTTCTTTTTTTGTGCTGCTGTTTTCTCGGCTGTGTTGATAATTTCCCCTTTTTTGCATTGGTTTTTACTTGCTTTGTTGTTGTGTTTTTTTTCTTTCTTTCTTTCTTTTTTTTTGTGTTATTATATTTTATTTATGTATTTTTTTGCGGCGATTAGGAATGCTTTTGAGTACAGGAACGCTGGCTGTGTGTGTGTGTGTGTGAGTGTTGTATATCTGTGTGTTGTGTAGCTGCTGATGTATCTGTAACTGTAGTTGTATCTTCTGTTTATTTTCTGCTATTTATTTTCTGCATATGTTTGTTTGTTTTTTGTTTCTTTTCACAGTTCATAAAAAAAATGGTTACTTAAAAAAAAATATTGGTTGCATTTGTGGCTGATATTTTGTTTGCGATTAGTTGTAGATAGATTTGTGTTGCTGCTTTTCACTGCTTGTTTCTACTGCTTAATTTTGGTTGGAAAGCAACCGCCGCACCGAACGAAACGACAAAAACGAGTGCGACCACGGAATCGAACAGACCGCCACGATAGCGGCAATCTGGCTGGCAGGCACTGCTTACAGCACTCTGTAAGCTCTTTTCTGTAAGCTCTCTCCCTCTGTTAGCAGTGGAACGGAATGGTTGTGGAACGGGCTGAAGCTCTCTCGTCGAGTTGCTGTTATATGGAGAGAGTGAGAGAGAGCCGCCCCACTGCTTGTGCTGCTTGTTTTTGCTGCTGCTGCTGCGGCTGCTGCTGTTGAGAGAGCGGAGCGTCTCTCTCTGGTGGCTGCTGTCTGTCTGTCTCTTGGTTTTTACGTTTTATTTTAATAATTATCGTTTGCTGGTTTCCCTGTTGCTCTCGTTCCCGCTGCTGCTGCTGCTGCTGCTGCTGCTGCTGGTCCGCTCCCCTTGCGAAAAGCGCAAAAACAATTGTCTGATTTACACACACTAGCACCCGTGAGCGAGAGAGAGACGCGCGGAGCGGAGGGAGGATGAACTGCCGTTGAAGTATGCCAACGCACAACAACAGCAACAACAAAAGCTGGTCGCTGCTGCTGCTGCTGCTACTGCACGACGCCGGCGTCGGCCATGACGTAACGATGCTGCCGCTACGTGAATGTTGTTTTTGTTATTGTCTTTGCTTTTGGCGTTTGCTTTTGTTTTTGTTGTATTTCTATTGCTCTCTGCTTTTGATTGATTTTTATTTCAAATTAAGGCACAAACACACACGCCCGCACCCGCCAACAGAGAGCGCGAGAGAGACAGATAAATAGAGGGTGGTGGGAGGAAAAAGATGGACAAACATTCTCTGTTTCTGTTTCTGTTTCTGCCTCTGCTTCTGCGGCAGCATTTATTGTTTTCCCCCCTTTCGAAACGGTAGAGTTTTCTCACGGAGGGACCTCTTTTGTGGATCCACACACGACACACGCGTCCGCAACGTTTGAGAATTTTTTGGGTTTTGATGATGAGAGTCGCCGCAGCATAAATCCGCGAAGCGCGAACGCCAAATCGCTCAAGAAACAGCACAAAATGTGCTGTTGCGGCGCAAGAGAGCATGAAAACTTTCTTTGGAGCAAAGCCTGAGCGTGAAACGGTTGGAAGCGGAACGGAATGGAATGGCACGACCGGGTTAATGCTTCCGGGGGGGATGGGAACGTGTGGAAGCGGCTGCTGTTAAAGCACAGCTGTTAATGTAGCATAATTTCAAGAGAGTGAGAGAGGGCCAAAGAGCGGGAAAGCTAGAGCATAAATCGTCATGGGAAATGCACTGAGAGATAGAGAGAGAGTGGGAGAGTGGGAGATTGGGAGAGTCGTGCCATGCACATTAACTGTCATACATGTTGCTGCCACGAGTGCACGGCACGACACACGACATTGTATGACAGTAACTGTGTATTACTTTGTCATACAATTTTTGGTATTACGAACTTCGGCCAAAGCCCTACTCTTGGACCTACCTGTCTCTTTCCACCCGATAAACTTGCAGATCCCCACCAGGATCAGGCCACCGCGCCGTACCATAAACCCCCATGGAGACAGTACTTCAAAAACTCCATCAAATGTGCACGTAATGTATCGGCTGTGCCGTCGCTCGGGTTCCTAGAGGGAGCTAGACTTTCGTTCTGGTTTTAGGCGCTTATTTGTTTCGTACCAAATTTCACGCTAATAAATATTTATTTTAAGCGGAATTTTGGCTAGCTCATTGTCACTCGATTCTGTGGTTTTGCCGAGTATTGTGTTGTGTTTGTGTGTGGCTTTGCTGTTTGCCGACTTTTTTTTTTGTTTTTTTTTGTTGCTTACTGCCTTTTCTGAGCCGAGCCGCCGTCCAAAGTCCAAGAAATTAAACTGCCAGACGGTATAGTGGTGGGGCGGGGCGGGGGTCTGTGGGGACTGGGGACTGGTGGCTTAAGGCGGGTGTGCGGTGTGTGTGTACCGACAACCGCACGTTAATTAAATTTATTTATGCAGCTTTATTTGTGTTTATTTTATTTTTAATGATATGAATCACATGTGACATTCTTTTTTTGAGGTTTTCTTTCTGTTTTTCTGTGCTTTGTTTTAAAATAGCAACTCGAAAATGTATTAGCATGTCTACAATTTTGTTGTTAATCGAATGTTTTGTACAGTCCCCCCGCACCGACCCGCACCGTCCACTCAGTCACTCTCTCCCTTCCGTTAACCGCAACACACCACCCCCGCTGCCGCTGTGCACTGCCTTGCCGACAATTGAGACAACTTATCATGAAGTGCTAATTAACATTGTCTGGCCCCCGCCGTCACTGGCAGAGACAGTGGCAGCGACAGCGGCAGCGGTCTGGGTCTGGTCGGAGGTCTGGCACGCGGGTCTCGCGCTCTCCCCCTCCCTCCCACTCCCTCCACTTCCTCCTCACGTATGGCAATGTCTGGCGACCTACCTGCGGTTACCAAGAGCCAGCACCACAGCCCCATTGCCCCATAGCCTCCCCCGAAAACCCACCAGTAGCAAAAAAAAACCAAAAAAAAAAAAAAAAAAACCGCAATTCACCCAAAACTGGCACTTGGTCGCCGTCGCAGTCGCAGTCGCAGTCTCTGTGTAGCCTCTCCGCACCGTCTGCTCCGTGTATTTGCTTATTCTTTTCGGCATACAATGAAACACAAAATTCACGAAAAGTAGCCAAAAACAACAACAGCAACAAAATACAAAGATACAACAAATATTAATGTGTACACATACGGCGAGACGGAACATTTTGTTTATGTTGATAATCTAATATGTGCTGACGTATAGTCGTATTTTTTTGGTTTTTTTTTTTTTTTTGGGTATTGCGAATTCTAGGTCTTGTCTGCAGGTTGGCTTTTTGTGTGCCACCTGGTGCGGTGGTCAGGCGATGGGCGATGGACGATGGGGCATTTGTGGGATCGCCAATCGATGGGGGGATCGATTGATCCGATCGATGCGATCGTGCCAAGGCTGTGAGCTGTCTGTCTGCATTTATAAATAAATTGTGTGGCAATTAAATAAATAAAATGCATGCATATGCATGCGGTTCGAGTGCTGTTCTGTTCTCTGCTCAAACAGTGCACGTGTCGTATACGTAATATGTGCGACAGTCAGCGACAGTCAGCGTCAGCCCCCTCGCCCCACTCCCCGTTTGCCCCACTGCCGCTCCACCAGTTGGACGGGGTTCAACTTTGATTCGATAATTGCATTGCCTCGGGGGCAGTCTCGAGGCAGTCTCGGGGGTAGACCAGGAGAGTGCTCTCTATCTCAGAGGTACGTACTGTTTGTAGTGCCTCCTCTGATCCTTTTCCTATTACAGATTGATCTGCTTCGATTTGGACACTGCTTCGATAGTCGGCCCCCCGGTTTTGCCTGCTTGGCAATAGTCTCACTGCTTGCTACTGTTTTCCATTCCAGTGACACTGCTTAGATCATCAAATTAATCCCTTGCACTGCTTGTCTCTTTTGGAACGCCCTACCAACAACGCCCTACACCTCTACTGAGTTTTATTTTCTTTCGATTAATGATTTTAGAGGGTATATTGTACACCCCACCTTATGGATACACTCGTCTGATGTACATTAATTGACATTCTAGTGTTAGTCATTAACTTGTTTTTGTTGCTGCTGCCGCTACTGCTGTTGACATCTTGACTCATTGTTGCTGTTGGCATCAGCCACGATTTCTCCCGCTGCCGCTGCCGCTGTGGCTGTGCCTGTGGACGTGTGGATGTGGATGTTTGGGTCCCTGTGATAAGCAGACTGTGGCGAGACAACAAAAGACAACGCAGACGATTTTGCATTTACTTTACATGTGCCCGTTGCCCGTTGCCCGATGCCCGACCGAGTGCCTCAAAGGCATTGTCGTTTGCTGCTGGTGCTGCTTTGATATTTTTAGACACCGCCAGTCAGCGTTGCCTGCCCCCTTTTCGTCTTCAGAGGCACAAACAAATCGAGTAAAGAAGGGGCTATGGCTATGGCTATGGCATCGATATTTCGACTGTTTGATACCTCTTCTTCATAATAGATAGTTAACTGCTTGCAACACACATTCTAATAGCCCTTTCTATTCGTAGTACTTCCATTTATAAACTACAGACTGTTACCAAACTGTTTTCCAACCCTGTAGGCTGCTCTCCAACACTGACTAAAGCAGTGCAATAGGAGTAGGAAATGGATACGGCATCTCTTGCCCTGCATATACCCGGACATAATACGATTACAGGGTATAGAGAAAAGCAAAATCAAAAGGCGTTGGCACATCGCAGAGATCGCATCGCCGCACA